AGAAAACCGGCCGGAATTCTTTAGGTTCATCAATAACGTAGATAAACATGGTCTGAGTTACACACAGGTAATCTTTGAGTTGACTCTTTTTAAACTCATTGTTAATATGACTGTTATTCGTTTTGAAATAACTCCTGTAATACTTTGCAATTGCTCGAATTCGAGCAACATGTACACTAGTATTAATAATTAGGCCTAGGTAGCCTTAAAACAGGCCATTTTATAATTAAATGGGATAACATTATGTTTCCAAATAGTTCAAAATACAGAAACAATTTAAGGGTAAAATGATAAAATAATTTATATTCAATCTGATCCGAGATAAGTGGTGCTCCAACAGTAACAATGGGGACGAAAAGTTTATGTTGATGTCACTCCCCCGCCCTCTTCCTCTTCTACAGAGTTGACATCAGACAATGTTGTAATCAACATCACAGGTCGCTTCAGCGCAACTCTTGCTGCTGATTGAAACCTTTTGTCTCATCTCATCGCGCTACACTCGCACGCAAACAAAGACTTGCCTGTCACTTTTAATACCAAATAAAAATGTATTTCTTTTTAGCATGAATGTAGCACATTGTATTGCTACGAAAGTAAGCGGACTTCCAAATATACCTTATTGGGGGGATTGATTTACTTCACGATGGATTGATTGTATTGAATTTGTAATTTTGCCATGCTGCTCATACTTCTTTTCAATCGTTAAACGTTCAATTTTTTGTTTGATTTTTTGTATTTGTTTTTATCCTCAAGTTAACTTATACTGCCTGTTAATATTGTTAACGTATAAATCAAGAAAAGTTGTATCTCTTACCAAATGCATTTCATAGATTCTCCAAGTATGATTGAATCCTAGTGGCTACTTGCGTATAATGAGGTATTTAATTTGTTATTTCAGACAAATAACTGTGTACATTATGTTTCTAGAAAATACTAAAACACATTTCAATCCCTCTACAAGAACACCTTTTTACTAGCTATTTAAAGTTTTTGTAAAGAGATTGGTTGGCTATCAAAACTTCCTAGTTTGCTTTGCCAAAAAATGATAACAATAATAACATCCAACTGTATAGAACTGAAATAAATAGTTTTAAAACCCCCTTCCACCATTTTTTTAGTGTTTTCAAAATAAAGTTTTGTTTTAGAATATCCTGAATGCAGAGCAGATGAAATTGGACTCAACTTCGGGTTCAAATGCTAACCATGACCTGTTTTCCCAGTCATCACATGAGACAAAAACGGGACAACTAAGAGGCATAAATTGTTGCCAGACGTATAAGGCCGCACTATATTAACCTCCTAGTAATATATGTGTCTCAGGCTGCTTATGTTTGGGCTTGCTCTAGTTTCAACTGCTTTCTTAGTAGATTGTTGTGTATTTTAAAACGTTGATTGCATAATGTTATCAAATAAACTACTTTTTAATAAGCGATATATATAATCCAAAATATAGATACTTTTACTCAATCATAAATTACGGTAAAATTCACTGGCTGGCTCACTAACAAACATTTTTTTAACTAGATATTTATTTTACATTTTGTTACGAGATTGTTTATCAGCAAGAATAATTCAAGAATCTTAACTTTCATACAAATCATGACGATAACATGTAATTTAATAGAATTAAATAAAATGGTACTCCTCGAATAAATTACGAAATACGTACTCCTCCTTAAATAAAATACGACCCAATAATATTGTACACACAATAATATTTGTATCGTATGTGTACACTGTAAAGTTTAAACTGGTTTGACATCGTACCCAGAGCACATACTACGATTTAATAATAATATTTGTGGTTTTAAATATTCCAAAATGAACGGTCAAGCGAGCATTTTGCAAATGTTTAAACGTGTAAGCCAATCTCTGCCTTTCATTTTAGAAGATCCTGTAAGGTTAATGGATACAGACAACAAGATATAGCAAAAGAAATCTTACACTAGCGATGTTATCCGAAATATTAAGTGCCGAACGGTGATTCAATCTCTTCGGAAACACATAAACTCCAGGTTACAAAACATTTCATCGTTATAGCTTATTGGGGTCACAACCGAGGCAATGAGTTTGTGACGGAAAACATATTGATATTATAACGTATGAGCACATTTTAACGCATACGTTTCTTGAATGTAACGAGGAGTTTTTAAAATAAAAATATTTCCGGACTTAAAAAAATAAGAATGAAAGTTGTTGTAGGAGATTGCTATTGTCAGCAGTTAATGATAGTTTTTTTTTTACAAGGGTATATTGTTTAAATGAGCTTAAATTCATGAGCTTAAATTTGTTTCACAATGTTAAGATGGTAAACATTTTTAGCAGTAGGTGCGAGTTCCTGTGATAAAATATATTCAATAATATATAGGCTCAAAACTACTTGTATGTTTGTCGTATGTGAAACGCAATCTTATGATTTTTTACATTTCCACGCTTTATATATTTTTTCATGTTGTTATTTTTCATAGGATTGCATATATTATTCTTCGCATACGTATATAAAACATAAACACCTTACTCGAATTACGGCAGAAATATTTGTTAACAGGCCCAAAGTAAGACCTGCTCAAACAATTTAATTTAGAATACACAAACAATTCACCCGTTTCGGAAATCCGGCCTTCTTCGCAAATGATCGAGATTAGAAAGATCCATTAAATTTTCACACTTCCATGAATGTCAAAGGAATCTTCCCTGCTCCCTAAGGTGAAGTTGTTACTGTACTCTTAGCGTTTTTGTTGTAAAAAAGAGATATGCTACAAATGTGTACAGTAGTTATAGTTTATTTTGTAGCATTGTAAATTATTCAAATCTTTGGTAATATGTTATGAAGGGTATTTATCTATTTTATCATTCAAAGTCCTAGGCTCTAGTCCAATCTAAGCTAATATTACTTCAAAATTAACATAGAGGGGTTGTGGGATGATCAATTAAAAGAGATCCAATAGTGGATGTCAAATGGCGGAAATTGAAACCGGAACTTCGCTTCGGGGACCCAAGCCCCGCACTCTACCACTAGATAAACTCACTAAGTCAAACCACTCCAGTTAAGAAGAACCAATCTCGATCTTTTTTCCCTCTACTTCGAGCTGGTCAGGTAAATGGTCTCTTGGACTGCCCTGCTCTCTTGTCTGGCATCGACTTTACAATATCTAGAGGAACACGTTCCGGGACCATCTTCCAGAGAAGGTACGAGCCCTTTTACTACGCTGATCACCATGGCACTTCAAGAATTCTAAGATTTAGAAGCATTTTTGCTCCTCGGCTGAACTTGGTTGGTGAGTCGGTGACTCAGTCGGTAGCGTCACGGACTTCGGACCCAAGGCAGCGATATCGTGGGTTCGGATCCTGGTCTCTACCGAAAACATTTTATCAGTGCAGTTCACCTTTGTACTGAACCGGCTCACCCCTTGCTTTGCTGGATACGTTCAACGCACGGGCGGTTAGTCTATGTGGACGGGCAAATGCAAGGTTAAAAGAGGCCGCCAACCTCTAAAAAAAAACACACTTCTTTGGTGTCTCGGCTAACTCCTTCAAGAAAGAAGGCCAGAGGCTTCTGCAATGAATCCCTGCAAATTGGACGGTCATACATTTGTAGTTGTTGTATTGATCTTATTGCAACGATTACCTATTTGCATGAAAAATTTTATTGTGTTTATAAACTAGGTTATTGTTATCTAAGAGTATTATTAATTGCTACTCACTGTTGTTATTCATTCATTGTTAGTTGATATATATTGAATATTTATTTATTGTACTCTATTGCACTAATTTTTCGTTACTTGTTATTTATTTAAAGTATATTAACTTATTGAACAACCATCCACATATATTTACTATTTATCTTTGGTTGCTTGGTTATTGTTAATGCACGCACAACAATGTATTTTCACTGTATTGGTTGAAACCGTTTAATGAATACATCAAATGAATTAATTAAATGAACTTATTATTCGGTATGTCTTAAAATTTTCCTAAGACAATATTTTTGCTCGTATATTGCATTTTGAATTAATATGGATGAGGTCAAACAGAGCTTATTTAATTTAAAACAACGATTATTATATAAACCGTAGGTTTAAATTTAAACTGTAACATAGTTATGACCTTCTACGTTTAAAGTTTCTCAAGTATTGCCCTATAATCCGATATGTTGTTCATTCTCTTAAAGCAATATAAATAGCATAAGTGTTATATTTAGTCCCCCTCTAATAATTTTTAATAATTTTTTAAATTTTTAATATTTGAGGCAATCATTTATTAGTTTTGTACAAATAGGATTTTTTTACAACCAACCTCCACCGTTTGAAAACTAAATCCGTTACATCTCAGAGTAATAAAACAAAATATTTTGTTTTATTACTCTGAGATTATATATATATCTTACCCAATTTCACATTTAACAATGCTTAATACAAGTTTTAGATACAGTAGTAAATTAGGTTAACACTATAATCACGTGTCTTTAAAAATATATTCCTTTGGGAATTTCAAAGAGTAATTTTGGCAAAAGGTGTTTTCATATCAGGAAGACTGATAGCTCCGTAAATGAGTTCCGCTTTATCAACCAAAGTCCTGAAACATTCCTTAACTTTGTCTGCAAAACTTATGCCATTGGAGTTTGTGTCACATGATCAATGCAATTAACGGTCTTATTATATTATTAAGACACTTATATAGATGGTCTTAGAACTATAAGTATTCTGTAAAAGGTTAAAATACATATGACAATTATGGGCGATAACCAACCATCATATACAAAAACAATACGATGCTCAGCTCATAGACAAAAGCGAACAAAGTTAGGTTTACTGTTACTAAAAAATTACATACTTATTTCAAAATGTCTTAGTAGTTGCTTGGGGTTTATGTTTAAATTAACGTTAACAGTTACAGTTGCAAAGAAACTCGTTGTTTAACACAAATATCTCAGGTAAATTGATACAGAATCTACAACTCTACATGTATTGAATTGTTTAGTATTTTGCTTTTTGTTTCAGATATTGATATGAAGAACGCCATGCAGAATAAAGTAGAGTCTCCTTGGCTACAGCAATGATGACACAGATAAAAATAAAAGTAAGTAGGCTATACAAATCAAATCAAATTAATCTTTATTTTTTTAAATAATACATATTATTACAATCTCCAACTAAAAATCGTCAAATAGGCAGCTAACTGTGCATAACACAGGAATACCATCTACTTGTGTTGCTCTGTATGTTAACTGAATAAATATTGTAATTTTCCAATGTCAAGGCTTAAGCATAAATTTCATACACTGTGTTAAGAAGGGACGTCGTGAAATCAAATACAAAATTAGGTTTTATTGCATACAAAAAAATATTTATGATATAGGATTGTTACGCATGAAACTAACCTTGATATTTTATTTTTAATAAGGTTTACTAACTGGGATTTAAATTTCAGATGTTGCAGTGTTCGGTGTTCATCAGTTGTCTTCTGGCTTTCGGGGGAGGTTCTGGACTTACAGGTAACATTCCCTTCTTTTATGTAGTTTAGTTATAATTTTATCACTCATCTTAACAACGAATATCTATTCTTTCACCGCATTCATTTGAAAATAGTAAAACGGAGTCCCAGTCATAGCGGTTAATTATTTGAATGTTTTCTCTATAACTTTTATTCACTATACTCCCTGTTAATCAGAATATACGAGTACAGTGTGTAAACTAAGTATTGAAACAAATCTGTATTTTTAAAACCGAAATAGATAGAAATATTCTGTTTGTGGCAATAATTGTTAACAAAGGTTCCGCAATTTTTTACATCAAAAATATTTTTTAACCCCCCTAACAGGGTAGGAGGTAGGGGGTGACTTATTTTTTTCAAAAAGCAACCCCTATTGAGTCTCCTCTAATTTTGAAAGTTTGTCAAAAGAAACACAATGACGCAAATCCGAGGTGAATATCTCACCCCTAGCCAAAATCACGGATATTCCAAAATGGGTGCTTTTAAAAAAAAAATTTAATTTTGGAATACCCGCCATTAAGGCTAGGAGTGAAATATCTACCTCGGGTTTGCGTCATTGTTTTTCTTTTAACAAACCCTTCAAAATGAGGGGTCACTCAGTAGGGGCTGTTATTGAAAAAGATAAGTCAACCCCACCCCCTACCCTGTTAAAGGGGTTGAAAAAATATTGTTGATGTAAAAAATTGCGGAACCTATGTTAACAATCAATTCCACAAACAGAATATTTCTATCTATTTCGGTTTTACAAAACGCAGATTTCTTTCCATTATTTGTAAAATTTGTGCTTTTTCACATACAGTAAATCAAATTTTGAAATGCCTGCCATTTTGGCTAGGGGTGAAATATCCACCTCGGGTTTGCTTCATTGTGTTTTTTTTACAAATCCTTCAAAATGAGGGGTCACTCAATAGGGGTTGTTATTTGAAAAAAATAGCCACCCCCTACCCACTACCCTGTTAGGGGGGTAAAAAGATATTTTTGATGTAACAAATTGCGGAACTTTTGTTAACAATTATTGCCACAAATAGAATATTTTTATCTATTTCGGTTTAAAAAAATACAGACTTATTTCAATACTTAATTTACACACTGTGTATCGTAAATTTATTTCCATACAAAAAAACTAAATGGAAACCACGTATCGCTAGAAAAAAGCAAGCAAATATTAAGAGAGATTTCGAAAATAAAATAAATACGTTGTTACAAAATGAGCATTGAACCTCCCGATGTTACCCATAAACCACAACCATTAACTTTTCTCTTCATCAAACAGCACCAATACACGAATTAAAGAAAAGCTGTTTACCACTCTCAACTAAATATACCTGTCAGTTATTGCGGCATTATATTACATTTTAATTATTATCCGTAAATATTAAACTCGTAGTTATTTGTGTAACTAGTGTGCAAAGGCAATTTGCACTCGTGTTACTCAGAAAATGTTTCCTATAGCAATAAAGCATAGAAATACTTAGTCTTTCAAACGCTATACAAGTTTTTAGGTTAGGTTAAATCGTTAAGGTTAAATGTTGAACGAAATGAGAAACACTGCATCAGCTGATCATAGTCGTAGTGTCTTTAAGTGCTACCAACTTATTTTTAAGTCTACCCGTATTAAGCCCATAATAAAAGTAAACCGTTTTGTGTTATTTGGTTGGAATACTACAGTGCGGAGATTGCGGGGAAAATTATTAAATGCAAACAGTAAGAAACCTTCTCTTTAATCAGTGCAAGGAAGCCAACATTGTCTGATGACCATTGTGAAATGTATTTTAAATAGTTTTTTAGCCCTATCAAATTGGGAATATACATTTATCGTTGATAAGATTTTCTAGTTAATATTTTCCACGTATTCTAGGTATGTCCGCTTTCGATCGCAAGACGACAACTGGATCGCCCAACACGCCCGGGCCACCTGTCGCATCCAGCGTATCGCCCAGCCCCGAGTACCACCATAGTCAAAACCTGTCCCTAGTCAATCTCACACTACCCTTGACATCTCCTGTGTCCAGCACGTCCTCGCCTCCAGACAACATCTGGAGCACCACCGAGTATGACTCTCTCCCTCTTACATTCTCAACGAGTTCAGTGGCAACGCGTACTTTAGAGGACGCAACCCCTGCACCAACGTTGACTCAAAACTCTGGAACGCCCAGCACAACTGGGTACCTATCAAATACAACCACTCAAAAAGCTGAAAACAAAAACAACACTAAAGAACAAGAGCAAACAGTGTCACTTAAGTCAAGCAAAGAATGGTTCATAAGGAGAAAGCACAAGGGGCCGTATTTTGAAAAACGAGTGAAGAAACTATCAGCGACTCTAAGATCCCCTGAGTTTAGAGTTGGGAATAAACAAAGAAAATTTAATATTTCACAAACTACACCTGACCTCGTAGAATTTCCGTGGCGGTTGACGAAGAAAAACGATGTAAGGCCTCAAATGTTGAAGGGTGATTCGAAAATTCAAAACGCTCGTGATACAGAATATCCGTTGAGAAGTACACGGAATAGTTCTAGAAGAGTTAACAGTGAGGAGAAACAGAGGAAAAGGCCGATAGCAATGGGGATTCCCGCTTCTTCTACGGTGCTTCTTGCTCCCACTCCCTCCTCCCCTTCCCCCGTTACAGTAGGCATGGAGAGTCCTCAGGACTCAGACGAGTACTACTCCTCATACGGCGAGTACCCGGACGTTCCTCTGATGGGCTACAATAGCTCAGGTGAGTAAAACACGTTATACTTACTAGTACAATCAAATAGTAAAAAGTAATTTTTTTATGAAACCAGCACTCAATGCTCTGAATTGAAATAGTTGAATGGATAATCAGACACGTTAGGGTGCCAGGAAGCTAAGTACATTATAACGATGATAACCATTCATTATTTCATTTGATTTCAGGGTTAATGTTGTAGCCAGATTCAAATGAAAAGGAACATTGTTGGATCGAACCTCTGATAGAGTCCGTTGATGTAAATAGTTACGGATTTTTCGAATTCGTGAAATCCAAAATTCAATGGAATTCCTAATTAGTAAACGTAATAAGTCAAATATACTTTAGTTGCCTTAACTGGAAACTTACGTTACATATAAATAAATTGCTTTATTTATGTTAAATCTTCCAGGGTATGCAGAGGCCGCAGTTTTGCCAGATCCAGAAGTGGAAGTAGAGGAAGAAGACGTAGAACCGGAAGTAGAAATTCCACTTCCAGATGACAGTCTCGCTGACACTGACCTGCATGATCATGACCTCATAGATAGCGTCATGTACATATACTTCGGTTCATCCGAGAGGGATGAGAGGGGTGCAGGAAGACAGGTAGGATATGATAATTATAAGATTATTTTAATATTTCCACAAACAAACTTTGGTTGTAGTTTTTCTATCAGCTTGATGAGAATAATTTTTGTAAGGTCCAAAATGTTGATGAAAGGTGGCTCTTAAGCCATGTTTGTTGTAGCCCAGTTCCTGACACTCGTCAGCATGTTGCGCCATCTACACTCGCATCCCAGTGAAGACTAGATTCTGCTGAATGCTGAGCTCTCATGATTGTGATATGTTTGTAGGTGCCGATAGTAGGAGCTGTAATATCTCTGGTAGCCCAGTTCCTGACGCTCATTAGCGTGCTGCGTCGTCTACACTCTTATCCTAGTGAATCATCAAGTTTGATTCTGCTGAGTGCTGAGCTCTCATGATTGTGATATGTTTGTAGGTGCTGATAGTAGGAGCTATAATATCTCTGGTAGCCCAGTTCCTGACGCTCGTTAGCGTGCTACGTCGTCTACACTCTCATCCCAGTGAATCAGCAAGTCTGATTCTGCTGAATGCTTAGCTCTCATGATTTTGATATGTTTGTAGGTGCTGATAGTAGGAGCTGTAATATCTCTGATAGCCTTGTTCCTGACACTATTTAGCGTGCTGCGTCGTCTACACTCTCACCCTAGTGAATCAGCAAGTCTGAATCTGCTGAATGCTGAGCTCTCATGATTTTGATATGTTTGTAGGTGCTGATAGTAGGAGCTGTAATATCTCTGGTAGCCCAGTTCCTGACGCTCGTTAGCGTGCTGCGTCGTCTACACTCTCATCCTAGTGAATCAGCAAGTCTCATTCTGCTGAATGCTGAGCTCGCCCTCACAGCCGGTAACCTAGTCTTCATGCTTGGAGTTCAGGTAAACTTACTTAACAGTTCCTATTCATGTCCATTTCATTGTCTGGCTAACGTATATGAGTGAACGAATAGCCTAAGTAATGAATTCTTAAAATTTCTTTAGATGAATGTAGACTTTAAACATTTTAGATATCGTACTGTTTCTTCATTTGCATTGGCTTCTCGTAGCATGGCTCTAGGTAGCCTACTCATTTATAAATTATTTGTAAAAGGATAATGATTTGTTAATTTCCTTTATCAAATTGATAAGATAATTTTTATCAATTTATAAAATGTAGCATAAACACTACACTACCTACCCCCTCCCTTACTTCCTTACTTCTTGTTTGTCATTTGTATTCAGTTTTGGATTATTTTTGTTATAATGATTAAAACGATCCAGAAACAATAAGTTGGATGAGATTAAATCCATTTGATCGTTAATAATAAATACCCTTCTCTGATCGACCATAACTCTAGGCTGGCCAGTAATTGCGGAATCGTAACGACATTCCTGACATAAATGATTTCTTCCTCTTCTCATTCCAGTTTCATTATCTTTTCGATATCTTGTTTTCACTCTCTCTAATAAAATAAAATATTTTACAGTGATCATAGGTCCATAAAATCAATAGGAATTGATATTTTACTGAGCATTAATTGTTGAGGTCTACGTAGTATGACGGATAAGTGCGATCAGATAGAATAATAACTATCCTTCAGGTATAAAATGTGGCAAAATGGTTCTACAAAGAAAAACAGTTATTGACCTTGACAATTAATTTTTACAGAATTTTGAAGTAACCAAGACTAATAAAGAGTTACATACGAAAATCTAGTATGGTCCTTGTATTTTAAACAATACATTTCCTTAACTTGCTTATGTCTAAAAACATTTCCTTGCTTAATTAGTAATTTTTTTATTAATTTATTAAATGTACACTGTTTATTTGTTGACCTTATTAAACTTCAAATTTACACTTAAATATTACTATTATTATTAATAGTTGTATTATAGATTTTTTCTGATACATACAATTATTTATAACTCTATTATTAGCGTACTTTACCGTTTCCATATTGTCATTTATTTAGGGATCCACAGTTAATAAAATTTATTTCATTATTTATAAATAGTTTTTAATGCCACTTTTGTCATTATTGATTACATTGGTATATTTCTGCATTTGCTAAATGATGTGAATGGTTTCTGTGTCAATACTGTAAAAAACGCACTAACAAAACAAATAAATGCAGTGAAACATACAGGCTAAGAATTCTGAACACAGCGATAGTAGGGATCAGCACGGGTCCTGCCAATGACGTCACACTTGACCCCGCCCACTTCGTCACACACCAATACGTCACTACCCATCACACATGACGTCATGGGACAGGAAACCGCGCCACACCCTACTAGTATCAAAATACAAACAACACTGTAAACTTAGAGTAAAAACTTGCTACAACTCCTAAACGTCTATTTTCCCGACAGGCGACAGGCAGCAAGCGGCGTTGTGAGTTCGTAGCTGTGACTCTTCACTATCTCCACCTCGTCACTTCCTGTTGGTTCCTGGTGAACTCTGTGTTCTCCTACCTGGGACTTCACAGGCCCGAGGCACGCCGGAGACTCCGGCCCTGGTGGTTAGCTGCGTGGTTCATACCGGCTGTTGTCGTTGTTGTAAGTCTTGTTTTCATTTCATTTTATATTCCTAGTTATATGAGACTTGTGGGACATCAAAGATCAAATGGCGTATTTCAGGGAGAACAGAGAAGGTAGCCTTAAAAAGCTACTGACTTTTCTGACCGTTATGTGACAATCTTATGATAAATTATGAGCATTTTATAAATTATACGAATCAAGCCCATAAAATAGTTGGTTGAGGGAATCTTTAAAGCCTAGTCAGGATACTGCCTTTGTTTTTAAATGAACTTAAGTAATACACATTTCTGTATAACTTAAATAACATCACTTTATAGTAAAGAACGCACTTACATATTCACAAAAAACATGCATTGTATAAAGCGCAGTCTAGACTTGATACTACTATTATTTTATTACATACAACTATATAATTCCATGTAAAAATTGTTATCAGTTTTAGAACACAAACTATAACAAAAATTACGTATTTGAATTGACTCCGACAGAATTCGAATAAATCTATGATTTATGGAGTAGACATATTAATAAAACCAAACTGAAATTGCAGCCAATTAATGAACCCTATAGCGTGTTTCATGTAACCTCAACCATCATAATGTAAACCTAAGAGGTAGAATAAAATTTTAGACTGCAGTGCAACCTGTAAATGACTAAATCAACTGTGTTCTTTTTAAATAAAAAAAAACCGCGAAGGCTGGCCCATTTACATAGGATAACTATTTCACTATCCGAGAGAAAATGATACTAACTAACGTTGGCCTTTTTAGAAATCGTTTCTAAAAAAACAACCTTTGGCAAATTGGATATATTTATACAATTTAAAATAAAAAAATATCACCAATATTTAATATATTTTTAATTTCATGAGGACTTTTCCCAATTATGCTGGCATCATCAGACACATCATAAAGTTTTTTGTGATCGACAATTTTATTAACACTGAAAATATTATATATTCATGTTAACCATTTAATTACGGGTTGCTTCCAATTTTACCATTTCTTCTTGAAGATTGGATCTATTTAGATCAAACTACTTAAATAACCTCTCGTATAAAGCACCTCTTGCGTAAGTAGCTCTTGTATAAAGCGTACCTTCATGCTGATACTGTAATACTAAGCACATTTGTAAGCTAACAGATTGTGCTAGCAGACTTTCAAAAATATTTTGCACACAAACCCAGCCTTCAAATTTTCACATGTCAAAAAATAAAAGCTCCATTTCGCTACAATAAGTGTTTTACACACTTTGGCCAACATAGTCTTAACGGAATTTCTGTTTCTGTATATTTTGGACTGATATATTCATGGTTAAATATATTACAATATAAACCTTAGAAGATCTTTTAAGATGCCAATCACTTTTCTTTTATTACCGTGCATAATGGTAAATTTAAATATTATAAGTGAAATAACTTCAATGGAGTTATAATGAACTATTATCTTTGCATTTTATGAAAAGTGCTCACTTAATTAAAACTGAAAATATTTTATATTCAAGTTTACCTTTTAAACACAGGTTGCTAGAAAATGAGTGAAGTAAATAAACAAGGAAATGAGAAAATGTAGTTACTACTTCTTTTGAGGGCTCTCATTCAAAACGTTAATTAAGCGTAATAAGATTCCATTCGATGCTGTGCTGTTAACACTGTTTGTTTTTGTACGCTGAAGTGCTGGACCTTTTCGAATACCTACTCAACCCACTCCCATACAAAAGTATTTCCGAGAAACGTATTTATACAAGTCTATTCCAAATCAAGAGCTTATTTTATAAGACTTTTTATATTATTCAGAATCTTTTTATTGTAATATTTACTTTAATAGCTATTCCGTACAGTACTGTGTTTAGTGAGACGGATAAGAGTTGAATTCTCATGAAACAATCTGGGAGCGTTTATTAAAAAGAAGATAATATAGAATATAGTTTTTAACACAATATCGAGTGCAAGATATCTTCAAGCAGACTTTGCGAGTCGTTTGCTCCCTTTGCAATACTGAAGTTTAATGAAATTACTTCTCTTAGATTGCAAAAGTTGAACGTAGCTGTGAAGTGCTAAATCTGCATTGTAGCCTCTTAGACGTTTCTAGAAGTTTGTTTAGTAGTACATTATATATAGTAATAATAGTTTTTAATAAACCTACTTAATAATCTTAGATTATGAACTGAAAAAATCAATAAAGAGTCTTTTTAAATTGATTTCAACTTTAAAGTGTAACTAAAATGTTGTAAAACTACCAAACATACGAGAAATTCCTCGTTGAGGAATTCCAATAAGCCTCGATATTAGTGTTGATGAATCTAAAATGAAAATATTTTCATAACTTTTGCCAGAAAGAAGGGTGCAATAAAATGCAGAGGGTTCTCAATATCTATGGTAATACGTTCAAGTGTGTGATATTGCGCATATCTACGGCACCTGCAGCATTGGAGCCTTACATATTGAGATCAAACTATAAGTTGTTCTCCTCCTAATGGTCAAGCTGAAAAAAGTTGTCTGATAGTTTTTCTCCTTGTTTATAATTCTAGACTGGATATTTTATTTTTCAAACATTTGAAGAAAAACATTGAATTAATTTTTTTATGAATAGAATTAATTATTGGCACAATCTTGGTATAATACGGTTGGTTGTTTTAATTTAAATAACCCGAAAACATGCTCATGACCTAAATACCTTTTCATTGGATTGATATTTTTACAATATTTTTACAATTGTAACAATTTCTACTAATGAATTTCAGCAGATTTTTTTAGAGCCTGTGTATAATTATACTACATACATGTCTATTAATTCATACTACCGTAATAATGTATTGGTTTCTTAAAAACATTTCCTATGCCACTATAGATACGGCACTTTTACATGTTTTTGTTTTGTTATATCATTATATCAAAATTTAAAACATCTTTCAAGAAGTTCCATTTTTTAAATAGAGGAATATTTACATTTCTTTTAAATGCGTTAATTATAGGAAGCCAATTGATTTGACAGATTTAAAACCCCTTAACAAAATGAGCAAATAATCAGATTTTTTATTTTGATTTTGAAATTCATAGAAAACGAGGTTATCATTCAAATATACTCACCTAATACAAAAAAAAAAAACACCTCAACCGTTCTTTAGCTGGTCAATCTCAAGCCAAAGAGCGGTTGAGGTAGGTTTGTTTGTATTACAGTACAACTTCTGCGTATCTTAAAATATTATTATTTCTAAAATGAAAAATAACAACTTTTGTTTGCACTGAGAAGATATTGATGTTTTCGGTTTGATGTATCACGCACGATTTAAAAAAGATGAGTCAAAACTCAACGATACAAACATGCATGGCTAAACATTTCATGTATTATTTATTGTACTATTATTAAATGATTGATTATTTAATATACCAAATAAATAATAATATCAATTTAATAACATATAATAATATTATTTGATATACTAAATGAGTGAATAAAAGGCAATTTGGAATCACTTGCCAGGTTAAAAAGATCAGTCTCCTTATCTTCGATCTGGTCAACTGGTAGAACTGGTTGGGCTTTGGTCCTCAAGTTCAAGGGTTCAATCCCACTAATTACCAGTATATTTTATCAACACGATAATGCTAGCCTGAGTACCGTGCTATAGTCTACTAATCTTCGCTTTTATTTGCAGGCGAGCGTCATGTTCAACCGTAGAGGATACGAGACGAGGTCATTCTGCTGGATGTCTGTTGCCAGAGGAATGTTATATTCATTCATGGTTCCGGTCGCCATCCTCATACTGGTAAATACAACCATAGCATCTTTATATTACACAGTATTGCATTTGTTCTAAGAGAATATAGTTGAATATACCACCTACAAGTATGCTAGTAGTCACTGTAGTAGACTTAGTAAGGGGCTGAAACTGGCAAAATATCAATTGATGAATTTTCAAGTAATGAAATTAGACATCTGAAATGGGATCAATAAAAGTTGACTTAATGCCATGTGACATCAAATAACTTGTGACGTTATTAAAAAAAATGCATTACCTGTGACGTAGTTGACATCATAACTTGTGACTTCATGACCTGTGTCATTACAGCTTATGACGTGGTGATCTGTTAAATCATAGCTTTTGACGTAATAACCAGTGACGCCATAGCCTGTGGCGTTATAACCTGGGACTTGTTTTATATTTTGAATGTTATGCTGCTGCTTCATTAGGATATTTATCATACAGCTTTAAATACACATTTTGCCAGCAATGATTGTTACTAGCGGGAAACTTGGCAGTAACTTGTAGTTACGTGGGTTACTTGTCTGTTTTCAAATTGAAACATCAGGTAAAAATTAGTGTACCTTTTGTCCGTGACCCATAATTTGTGAACTAAAGACTTATGGGCGTTATCCGGATAATGTTTTAGAATAATGAAACCCATGCCAAAGACTATAGCGTAAGTCTATAGTGCGCCCGTGCACTGTACACAAGCTACCTCATGTTTCGACCAATACATAACCGTTAAAGTGTTTGATTATTAATGTAAAGTTAAAATGTTATTGGTAAAAATGTTCTCCAGCTCAACACATGCCTCGCTGTCCTGGGGCTTCGACAACTCTCCCTATCTGACAAGACGGACGACGTTGACCGGAAGTCCATGAGGGTCTCTGCGACGCTGCTTCCGGTCTTCGCAGTGGTTTGGTTCCTGGGAGTGGTTGCGCTGGAAAACTCAGTGTCTCTAGTGTTTCCACTGATGTTTGTCGCAAGCAGCGGGTTCCTGGTGAGTATTTTCACATTAGAAAACTAATTTAGGGATGTAACAAAACTTTGAATACTTAGTGATTGAATCAAAAATAATGTACATGAAATGAAATCCAATGTATCCAACTAATCCTACGGTTATGAGTAGTTACTGTATACAGAGCCCCTGATTACATAACAAATGCTAACCCAATCGACATCCATGTTTAAACATCTGCTTACTAATCTAATTGTAATCAGTTACACGAATGCGCGTGCTGGATTCAGTTTTCAATTGCAACAAGGCTCAAACACAATTAATTGGTAAACAGGGAACTGTAATACCAAATTATGCACTTAATTAGTGTTGGTTTAATATTAAAATATCTATTAATGCCAACCTTGACTTCGCCTTGCCATTAAGTTTCATGTTCCTATGTTCAGCTTTGACTAACACATGAAACATGAGTGGGCAACGTAAAATATGCCACTTTCGGTACTAGCACAGAATAAAGAGTAGACATGTGGACCCTTGTAGTTTTGAAAAAGGTTTGGAGGAATCTTTTCAACTTGCACTGACCCATCCACATGGACCTCGGGGGGATTTGCGTTTAATTTTTGGTAAATCAAGGTAGCAGTAAAAACATGAACAATTCCAATAAACCCTCTGTTAGAAATAGGATATTTACCCAAGATATCGCTTTCCTTGGTTTTAAATCCGTTCTACTAACTGTCAAACTATACAGCATCTAGTATAGTTAGTACACCATTATTAACAAATACCATCTACTAAATATAGATTTACTTTTATTTGTATTTTTTTAAATATGCGTACATAATTAGCAATTACTTTAGTTACGGATGACAAATTAACTGGTACATCAAAACTACTATAAGACCAACAATGGTTTTCCTGCATATGCACACAGATAATAGGAGTACCACTTTAACCTAAAAGAGTTTTTGACTCCTTCATTAAATTCAACTAGGGTGTATTACTTACATACTTATATGGTGTCACTTGTATCCGTTGGCAACGTTGTATTATATGATACCACACAGTAAGGAACAGAACATACACTCCATGGTAGAATTAAGTGGTGTCCAGCACTAGTGCTGGTGTATATGATAAAGTTCAACACCCCCCCCCCCTCGACATCATGTACGAAAACGCTCACGGTGGAGGAAGACTCAGTGCCCTGTTCAATAGGAATTTTCAAACAGTGGTCTCCTCTCGGGCTCTCCCTTGCCCGTTTCAAGTAGGCCTATATTTCCGGCGCAACGTACTGGAACTGAAAGCGCATGGTCATCCCATAAGTATAATTCTAATAGTAGCATTGTCCCGCAGAACTGGTTCGTGTTGGCTTGCTGGTTACCAGCAGACCTGTCACTTTGGCGAGAGTCTGACGAGGACTACGAGGACGACGACGACGACATCTATGAGGAGGTCCTCAAGACACCTGCGGACTCACAACCACTGCTTGAGGACAGTCAGGTGTACTCGGCACATATGGACCCAGGCCACATGGACCCTCATATGGACCTCGTGTACTCCTGCGGTCGTAGGGACCCGTGCGATCTTCAGATGGACCCGATATGCACCATAAGTGGATATTCAACGCAACTCCACACTATTTAAACTAACGTTTAATGTTTGTTTTGCTGAGTGCAGTGAAGAGGAATTTTAAATTTCGCAAAACACTATAACCTCACATAGTTAAAGTTTTGATAAAATTATGGGAGAAATTTGTTGTGTTGGCAGAACTAAACGCAACCCTAGAGAAATAAGGAAAATAAGGTCACTTATTCTTTCAACGGTTTGAAACAATGTTTGAATTGTAATTAAATATTGATAATTACAATAATTAACAATAGGCCTATTTTTTTAAATATTATTTTGTTAGGGGGGGTCAAATTAATTGAAAAAAGCTCTTGAACTAAAAAATGATAAGAGGGCAGTTTTGTTTACTTTGGGCATAAGTATTCAATTATAAAATCATCAATCATTGAAAATTGTAAAGACCATAAATTTGGGTTATATGCCTATTAAACTAATTCATGCCTTCAAACATTACACACGACAGAAATTGTCATAACTGACTAGAAACATAAAACAATACGATTTTACGTTTAATGGATATTAAGGTATTAGGAAAATTTGTAACTTATTAAAAATTTAATGAAAAAGTAAATTAGTTTAAATAATTTTATAAAAAAAGGAGAGTGGTATAACTACTGTTGGGGAGTAATCCAACTTAATTTAAAAGTATTTTACAAAAATACTAAACCTTAAAATATATGTTTGCTCAAAATTGTAAAATAATAATCTAATAACGTCGATAGTTTTATTCAACATCAGTCTTGTTTGCAATATAAATACATCTTTTATGTACTCTATTGTTACGATCATAAGAAATAAATTTTGCCTTTGCGTTCTTGGTGTTTTATAAATGTTTAAAATTTAAAATTTCATTCAAAATGTTCTTAATAATATAATTATATTTATGTGTTTACTCGTTTCAGTACTTGTAGAGTCTATTTTGTCGTTATATCTATAAAATAAATGCTTACACTTCTATAACCTATAATATACTAAACGATTGCCTTACTGTATATTGTAACGTACACATAACACTTCTTGCATTGTTATACAGAATCTATTTACTGTTTGAATCTGAACATTCATTTGGACAATAAAATTGTGTATAGTGTAACAAACAGATCGGCTCATGTGTATTTAAATTGTTCTCATTTGTAACACGTAGAGTATTTTGTAAGTGCAGCATTGTAGCACATGTAAAATTTGGCGTACATATTTCATGTAAATCGATGGACAGTACAAAATCGATGTATTTTGTAAGACTCTTTGAATACTGTATTATGTGCTGTCATCTCATTCCTTCTTTGACATTTTAATTTCAATCCACCCGGCAAAGGTTTTAACATTATTTGTATTAGTAATTAAAAGTAAGGCAAACTACTGCTAGTTCTGAAATTATTGAGAGGGATTATGACATTAGGTGAACATTTTTGTAGTATTATTTAATAATCGTTAAACTAACCGAAGGGAAAACCCATAGATCGCTACAAAACTATTTATTACATTTACTATTTTAAAACCACCAGAAACACTTTGTAAACAACCATCTTATCTAAATGAAATCTGATAACCTTTTTTTAGGGTAGTCTTTTAAATTTTAATCTTCAACCAGCCCGGTCTCATGAGCTCAGTTTTATGAGTGAAATGTGTTAAGCAGATCAAAGTGTAAACATTGTATTTAAGAAAATGTATCGATATTTTTTTAATTGTTTTCACGGTAATTCACAATATCAACTGAGCCCCTGACTTTAAATTAATAAAGCAACGATCAATAAATCGTTATACATATTCTAATTTTGTTTTACAACACTTAATATAATTTACAGTCAGTAATATTTCAGATTAAAATATTTACGATATTTTTAGATATGAAAAGGATTTTCCAAATTTTTTATCCCTGACTATTGAAGTCTCCAACGTTATAAAAACAGATAATACTTAGGTATTATATTGTATTTTAAGCATTGGTAGGCCTTAAAGTTTTCAAAGTTTACATTACAAGTTTGAACACAGATTCTATAATTAAAAACAAATTGCTCAGATAGTTCTATTGAGTAGTATTTACATTAAATCTTATGCAAATACCCTTTCAAAAGGTGCGATATTTTTGGAACTGCAAACGTATATTTTACTAATTAACACTGGTATAAACCGAACGAAATTAATGTTGGGTAAGAATTGCAATTCTAATTTACTATAGAGAGTCAGGTTACGATTAAGTGGAAGTTTTTTGATTCATACTGAGAGGCAAACATAGTTTAAAGAGGCGAAATTTTAATTCGTACTGTAAATTTCCTATAGAATGTTATGTTGCATTTTCAGCCACCTCTATAGTGCTAAACTTTACAGTAGAGCTGATGTAGTGCCGGGATTGCGTCTTTCACATGTTAAAACTATGCTGAGCTACAGTACTGTTCGTGAAGTAATTCTAAAATATTATAATGTAGATATATCTTTGTTTCAAATTGAGATATTTTAATGTATATAAAGGTTTGTTTTATTGTAACTGATATTAAATAATACAACAAGACTTGTACTGACTTATTTCCTAATGACTACTCAATACTAACTGCAAACATGTTTTGTTTAAGTAGACTAAGACTTGTGTTAGGTATTCAGAGGGTTACTAGTTTTAGAGGGTTACGGCATAATTACATGGGTGATGGGTGGGATTTAAACTCGGGACCTCGGAATCCAAAGCCCCTCACTCTACCACTATGCCAGCTCGCTCCTATATAAAAATAAGTAGCAACAACAATTTGCACGGTTCCACGAGAATCTGGTGATTATTTAGATTGTAGGTACGCTCTCCAATGTGTAGACATGAATTTAAAATGTGTTTACTTATATTTAGAGTATACATTTGTAAAACCTTTGAAAAAACACTGAGTATACTATTGAGATATTTACAAGCTATGAATCTATGAAAAAGTTATTAATTCACTTACGTAAAACAGAAATGGTAACTACTACTCAAATCGTTAATTCAAACAAAGAAGGTATTTACAACTTTTTGGGGGGGGGGGGATAGGGATGATGCATGCATGATAATTCATATTGTGTGATGTTACTCAAAGATCAATTACAGCATGTACGTTTTATACAACAACATATGCATTTACGAAAGATATAAGACCAACAAAATTCAATCAATCAAGAATTTCTGAGAGTTTAAAGGAAGAGCGGATTTGGTAAGGTTGAGTCTCGCACGAGAAGGCTAAACTCAGCTTACCGACATCAAAGCGTAGTTTCCTATAGGGATTTGTCTCTGGAGTTTGAGTGAAGGCGTCTTTAAATAAACGTCAGCAATAACAGACTTAAATTTCCAATTAAACACTAAGTAAACGTCTCATTTATGAATAAGCTATGTCCTTTTAAATCATATTAATAGTACTGAAGTTCTCTTATTTGCTAGGATCCTTTACTAGGTGTTCACTACATTTCCGATACGCTACTATTTTAGTTCGTAAGCAAGAAAGAACTACTTTAAGTTTGTCGCTGTGTTTTAGATGTAGGTGTCTTTTAAAACGTCAAAATAGTCTAAAAGAAGCACAAAGTTCACTTATTCCTAAGTAATGAAACATTTTTGTTGCTTGGACTTTATAAGGTTTCTCAGAGACAGTAATTTGTTTAAGCATTTTAGTTATGAGATGTATTTGACTTTAAATCTGTATTCAATACAAATTACTCCACTGGCAGATCAAAGAACAAATCATAGTACATTTTAATTGTCAACATCAAATTTTATTGAATGTTATTCTTAAGTGGGACTTAGTAGGAAACACAAATGTCTCATAATTTAAACTCCGTCATTAATTATTTTAGTTGAAATATCACATATCTAAACTATTCCTTGTTTAAATAATTAATTTGCATCTGATATGGTAATGCATTATTGTAAGCACAAAAACCTACAGTAGTACATGTTAATAATTGTTAAATGAGTTAATTAACAACTATTGTTCCTATGGAGAGGACGTTGAGCGAATGATTTAGTCAAGCTGATGTACAGGTGCCATTTGAAAGGCCTCTATTGAGCTGAGGAATTCAATGGACGAACTCCTCGACAACGCTTCATCTTGAAAGGGATACTGTTAACACTGATGCACTTCATACTCAATAGCGTTATGTGTTTAAATTGTGCTTATCCTTCCACCCTAGTAATGAAATAAACACATCTAAATGTACAGAAAATTTGTGTGATTTCAGTAAGTATACTTCGTTAGGGAGTTGTAGGAAGTATAAATTTGGTTCTTTTTCAAATACCTGGTACAGTACATATTTATAACAGTCTCGGTGCATTAACAGTTAAATTCTTCGTAGATTACTACTGGTGACTTATTATTTTAATATTAATTGTGTTTCGTCAAGTTGTATTACTTAGTTTAAATTTAAATTTCAAATTTCGGTAGCTACTATGAATTTATATTTTTAACAGATGACCCATTTAAATTATATTGTCTGATGTATCTTCTCGACAAGCCATAATCAACCACCAGTAGAAAATAAGAACTGGAATAATTATTGCACTCTTATCTACACCCTTGAATATTCTTTTGAATCACTCAATTTTAAGTAGCCATGTCTAATAAAAGATAGTTTAAAGTTATAATTTTTAACAAATCGTAACAACAAACAAGGTAGTTAGAATGAAAATAATTGTAAAGTTAAATGAGATATCTAGTATTGTCCCAAGTTTTAAATTTTTATCCAAAACTTAGAGTCAACTAGAATTTTCTTCCAAAAAGAAAAAAATCTACATATTTGTTTAAACACTAAAAATATTTGTAACACAAATCATTAATAACTTTATCTGTAGCCAAACCATCTAACTTAGTACGAATATGATTCGTGTGAAGATAAGCAAGCAAAATATTCACTTTGATTACCAATCAGAGGTCACATATATGTTAAATAACCAATGTAATGGAACCCTCAGCCAGGTTATCCCTTATTGGTCAGGGGTTGTAGGTAAACGATGATAAGAAGGGTTGACAGGGGTGATTCTATCAGAGACCAACCCTTGTTTCCGAACTCTGAGTATTACAAGTGAATCTCTTCAACAGCAATTGCACCTAATAGTTTTAAACAATATGTAATTAGTATGTTAATGTGCCTCTGGCGCAATCCATCTGACATCGTCGGTCAAGGATTAAGGACACAAAATAAAAAAATAATAAATTATACTAGGCTACTCCAAAAGTTACCAATCTGTAAATTTACAATTGCAACGATTTTTATTTAGCATGGTCTAGTTTCCACGAATTCCCCATTTAGGGAATAAGCTATTACCGTAAGTCTCATGGTAGGACCAGGAAGACCTGTTTAGAATTATGCATATTTTGATCATTTTTAGAAAATTTGTTTATTTTGTAAGCAAATTTAAAAGACAAACACATTTTATTACCTTGCCTGTATCAGCAAATCTAAGTTCTAATTTACGTTGATGTATTTTAAATAGAGAATCATTCTGAGCATTTTATTTTATTAACACTCCAACCAGGTAATAATAGGGAATTCACTTAGTCGGAGAGAGTATTTTTTTATTGTTAAAGAATTTAAAAGGATAAGTCCTTCACTGTAAATACTGCTAGAAAATATTGTGTTGTCGCGCATTTATTTAGGAGCCGTTCATGATGTATATTGCGTATGAATTTAAATTTTATGTTTCTTTACATTAACGTTTTAAGACATTTTTACTTCTTAACAAAAACGTTTAATTACATTTCTACTGAAATTGTAATATAGCATTTTTAAAAGCAAATAAAATACAGTAAAAATGGTTAACAGAATACTCAGTATAAGAGCTAGTAGCAGGTTTTATAGTTGCAAATTATTCTAAACCATTTAAGTAAATGAAAGAAACATTTTGAAAATGTAAGAAAAGCCTGAGAAGTGCGTTGGACTGTGAAAGCTGGGTGTCGCTTGAATAAACCACAACCAAGCTTGCCCCCTCCCCTTACTGGCTGTTACTTCCCACCAGTTTATTCTAATACTCTCTATTGGTTTACTCTAACACATAATACACACGTTTTCCAGCTGTAATATGTTTCAATACGCCTGTTTGGCACGTGTTTTGGGAACACACACTCTTACCTATAAAGGATATAAATGAGTGTAACCTTTTATATCATTGTAAGTTGTGAATAACTACAAGATACGGAGTTAGATGCGCATGTTATTAGATTCAGTACAGGTCCAGCACATTAAAATTCTTTAAAAATGATTTACACGTAACGTTGTTTTACATTAATGTAAAAAATAACCTGAAAATGTATTTAATTAAGATTTGAAATGTATTAAAATGGGGTAGCTACTCAAAACTTTGCAGTCTTGTCTGAATATGTTAGGGATATGTATTTAGTATATACCACCGTGGAGTACATGGTTTACCATACAAATTTGAATAAACTGAATACCAAAATATAGGCTGTGTAAAAAAAGTTTTCTTAATAAAATACAATCTTGGTATTCAAACATTCAATTTACTTAATTCAGTCTGTTAAATTTAAACAAGAAACACAATATCCTGGCACATTATTACTCGAATGTTTCATAAACTTTTGAAATAAAAACATTGATAATCACACAGTAAATACAAAGAATAATCACCAGCAGGCTTCAAAAGAACTGATTAAAACGTATTGAACTGAGAGATCAATGCGCTGATCTCTGGTGTAAAGGCTTAGCCTCACATGAAGAGACTTTAGTTAGCTTTTACACTTCAAATATAGGCTGCCATCAGGTTTCAGCCTTTACAATAGTAGTTTTATTGTTTGTACATATTGTTTAAGCATATTAAAGGCAAAGTTGATATTCAAAACCCTCTTTGGTGGAACTGTGATGGTATTTAAATAAAAGTGATATTAATTTATATTTAGTCTTTTGCATTTTTTACATGCATTTCATCTACCTAATTAGTGTTTTAAATAAAATAAGGTGACATCAAAAGATTCCAAAAAATCTTTTTCTTCATAGTGTGTAATAGATTTGACATAATGTTAATGTTTTCCTTGTGTACATCAAATTTAATATCGTACAGATTTAAGCTTAAAATTACAATCAAATGTTCGACCTAGTAAAATACTTCAACACGATTTAAAGATTGTATAATTATATAAGCTACTATATTCTGGCCATCAAATGTTATTCCCAAAGCGAGGTGAGATATAAGATGAGATATTGTAGAGGATGATTACAAAATTGTCAAAGTCATCACCAGATCGTTCAATAATATTACTTAATTTTTAAATCTTTTAATGATAATCGCTTTATCTAACTGAAAATGGCATTTATTACCTTCCCAAATTCTATTTCATTTTACATTGTTGCGTCTGTATTTTCTCTTTGATTTTTGCATGTAATAATATATTTTAAATTGTGATGCTTAATAAGATACCTTTTCTCAACGTTAGGATTTGGGAATTAGCACCAAAATAGACACGGAACTTAGAGGATAGTAATGCAATATCGTAAACAATCCTCTTATATCGCAATATGATATATCGTAAAAAATACAAGCAATGCCTG